TGATAGTTGCATAAGTTGTTTTTTATCTTTAGCAGTCATATTCTTTGTAAGAATTTTAGTCTTTTGAACATTAGTTCTAAATCCAGCCACCTTGCCATATTGATGCAGCACTTGCAACAAAGTTTCCAGTGACTCAATTGGTTGAGACAATGTAAAAACCAAATCATCTGCAAAGGCTTTAAGTTTGTATTCTTTAGAAGAAATTCTTAGGCCTTTAATCAATGTAGAATCTCTAATTCTAGATAATAAAATTTCCAATGACAGTACAAATAATAAAGGGGAGAGTGGACAGCCTTGCCTAGTACCTTTTTGTATCTCACTTTTCTGTTGTGTCTTATTCCTGACGATGGTGATGATGATGATGATAATAAGTATTATAATTATAATAATTATAATTATAATTATAACTATAGAATTAGAAGGGACCTTGGAGATCATCTAGTCCAACCCCCTGCTCAGGCAGGAAACTCTATACCATTTCGGACCAATGGCTGTCCAGTCTCTTCTTAAAAAACTTCCAGTGTTGGAGCATTCACCGCTTCTGGAGGCAGGTTGTTCCACTGGTTAATTGTTCTGACTGTCAGGAAGTTTCTCCTTAGTTCTAGGTTGCTTCTCTCCTTGGTTAGTTTCCATCCGTTGCTTCTTGTCCTGCCTTCAGGCGCTTTGGAGAATAGCTTGACTGCCTCTTCTTTGGGGCAGCCCCTGAGATACTGGAAAGCTGCTATCCTGTCCCCCCTCGTCCTTCTCTTCATTAAACTACTAGTCATACCCAATTCCAGCAGCCATTCCTTATGTGTTTTAGCCTCCAGTCCCCTGATCCTCTTTGTTGCTCTTCTCTGCACTCTTTCTAGAGTCTCAACACCTTTTTTACATCGTGGTGACCAAAATGCAGTATTCAAAGTGTGGCCTTACCAAGGCCTTGTAAAGTGGTATTAACACTTCATGTGACCTTGCTTCTCTCCCTTTGTTAATGCAGCCTAGCACTGTGTTGGCTTTTTGGGCAGCTGCAGCACACGGCTGGCTCCTATTTAAGTGATTGTCCACTAGGACTCCGAGGTCCCTCTCACTGTTACTACTATTGAGCAAGGTACCACCTATACCAGGGGTAGGCAACCTTGGCTCTTTTATGACTGGTGGACTTCAACTCCCAGAATTCCTGAGCCAGCATGGCTCAGCTTGGAAACCTCTCCCTTTCCCCTCAGCATAGCTGGCTCAAGAATTCTGGGAGTTGAAGTCCACCAGTCATAAAAGAGCCAAGGTTGCCTACCCCTGGTCTGGATCCAAGCCCGCAGTTTCATCAAAATGGCCAACTGAGGAATTCTGGGAGCTGAAGTCCACCAGTCATAAAAGGGCCAAGTTTGAAGACCCCTGAGAGTCTGGATCCAAGCCCGCACTTTCATCAAAATGTCCTTCAAGTTTGTCTTATGTTTCCTTTTTAATCTATTTATTTATTATTAATAAATTATTAATAATTATAATAGCCTAATTATTATAACAATGTTATAATAATAATTATTAATACATTCAGCTAGGGGTTACATTCAGCTAGGCCAGGGGTAGGCAACCTTGGCTCTTTTGTGACTCGTGGACTTCAACTCCCAGAATTCCTCAGCCAGCATGAGGGAAACCTTTGCCCCTTCATGACTCGTGGACTTCAACTCCCAGAATTCCTGAGCCAGCATGAGGGAAACTTTGGCCCCTTCATGACTTTGGACTTCAACTCCCAGAATTCCTGAGCCAGCATGGCTCAGCTTGGAAACCTCTCCCTTTCCCCTCAGTATGGCTGGCTCAGGAATTCTGGGAGTTGAAGTCCACGAGTCATAAAAGAGCCAAGGTTGCCTACGTCTGGCCTATACTGTACCTGTGCCTTTGGTTTGTCTTGCCTTGATGATTAGGGTGTTTTTTTTTAATTTGTTTTCATTCCCACTAGGAAAAGAAGAAGAAGGATGAAGAGAAGGAGAGCAGGACAGCTCAGCTGTCTTTGGACAAAAAAATTGACGAAGAGACTTTGCAGGAGAAAAGCACGCCCGAAGGAGTCGTTTCACAATCCAGGCCCTGCCCTGCAGCCCCCCAGAAGGAAACTGGGAACCAGGACCCCAAAGTGCCACCAAGGCTGCTAACCCCTGAAAATGAAGGACCCCCAGCAGCCCCCCAGACCGAACCTCCGCTGGGCGCGGAACTGGGTGCAAACATTTTGCAGGAGGATCAAGATGCAAAAATGGCGGAAGGGCCGGATCTCGAGGAAGGCGCCGTTAGCGGCAAGATGACCGGCAACTTGTTGGGAAAACGCATTCCTCCCGCGGAAACTGCACCCCGGAGTAGCCTTATGGAACCTCCTTTCTCCGAAAAGGTCCGTGTCCCGGCCTCTCTTCCCGAAACGGGAGCCAAAGCACACCCGGAGACCCCCCTCTTTAAAAACCTGTACCCCGATCTCTCGGCGCTGTTATCGGAAGGACTGCCGGATTTTACTTTCCAACTGCAGCATCGCCCGGAGACTTTGTATCCCGAACTTCCGGCCCATCCCGAACTCGTTCCGTTTACCAAAGAGCAGCTGAAGGTTTTCGAGCCCTGCTCCTGGCTGGAGAACGTGGAGGCCTACGCGGAGGAATTTGGCAGCCTCGCCCACCAGGACCGCCACGAGTTTTACGAGCTGGTGGTCAACTACGGCCGCTGTCGGAAGCAGCTGCTGCTCGCCGAGACCAAATTGCAAAGCCTTTCCTGGGATGGTGAAAGCGTCAAAGACCGCCTGTGGACTTTCCGGGATCAGCAGCAGGCTGCCCAGGTGTGTTTGTGTGTGTGTGTGTGTCAGGGAAGCTGGGTTTGGGCAGAACAACAGAATAACGAGAGTGATTAGAATAGAATAGAATAGAATAGAATAGAATAGAATAGAATAGAATAGAATAGAATAGAATAGAATATAGGATATAAAATAGAATAGAATAGAATAGAAAATATGTAATGGAATATAGAATAGAATAGAATAGAATAGAATAGAATAGAATAGAATAGAATAGAATAGAATATAGGATATAAAATAGAATAGAATAGAAAATATGTAATGGAATATAGAATAGAATAGAATAGAATATAGGATATAGAATAGAATAGAATAGAAAATATGTAATGGAATATAGAATAGAATAAAATAGAATAGAATATAATATATGGAATTGAATCGAATAGAATACAATCGAATAGAATAGATAGAATAGAATAGAATAGAATAGATTAAATAGAATAGATTAAATAGAATAGAATAGAATAGAATAGAATAGAATAGAATAGAATAGAGAATAGGAGTTGGAAGGGACCTTGGAGGTCTTCCAGTCCACCCCCCCCTCGTTGCTCAAGCAGGGAACACTATGACATTTCAGACAAACGAGTTGTCATTGAAATCCCACGGTTCAGATCTCTGGTTTACGAAAGGATCTCGCTGCCCAATCAGCTTTTCTGGTTCTCAAATTTTAACACCAAAATTCAGCACAGTTTTTTTTTATCCCCCCCCCCCCCCGGGAAACTCGGATTGGTGATTTGTGTGGAAGCCTTGAGGGCTTAGAGTAGAGGTCACCAACCTTTTCATGCTGGCGGCCTGGAGGGAAAGGGGGCATCTGGGAAATTTGTGTACGTGTGCACGCCGAATGGGGCCGTGCGCGCCCACATGGCACTAGTGGCCCCCTGAGAAGGGAAGCATCTTCAAGGGGAATGGAAGGATTGATACTCCTTGCAGACAGCCGGCCATTTGCCTTCTTTGAGAGAGTCGTTGAGNGGGTAAACTCCTGGATTGCAAAGCAAAAGAATTTACCCAGAGACATTGTGATATATTTTACAAGAAAGTCTAGACGTAATGAAATAATGCAGCTCTTTTATCAACAGAGATTTAAAATTTTGAATCAAGACATCATTCTCTTAAAGGAAATTCCAGCAAAAATACTTAGAGCGCGCAGAGATTATGCCTTTTTGACACAACTTCATGGTATTTTTGTTTTCAATACCAAGTGCTGAAATACTTCTCTCTCTCTTTCTGTTTGTGTGTGTGTGTTTGCATGTGTGTTTGTAGTATCCTACATTTTAAGCTGTCCTTCTTTCCCTATGACAGCGGTTCCCAACGTCTGGGCTGTGGACCAGTACCGCTCCTGGCCTGTTGGGAACTGGGCCACACAAACAGCAGGCAAACAAGTGAAGCTTTATCTGTGCATGGGTGGGATGTAGGTTGTGCATGAAAGGATCCCTCTCCCTCGGTGCATGGAAAAATTGTCTTCCATAAAACTGGTCCCTGGTGCCAGAAAGGTTGGAGACCATTGCCCTAAGGAATACTTTGTTTTATGAATATATCCTATATATATATATATATATATTAAAAACAATCTTAAAAACAGACGAATGATTCCTGGATACATTCATGGTAAAAGATAAAAGAAAGTGAACACCAGGAAGAATTAAAAACTATAAAAGTTTTAATAAATTAGAGTCCAAGCTTTCACCGGCCACTGCCGGCATCATCAGGGATCTATGCAGGTTAATGGGAGCGCTTATTTATGGTCAAACTACTTTTGCACCCGACCCATGGATGCTGTCATGGGATTCCGTCAGCCAATCGGCGTTCTGACACTGTTTTTGTTTTATTAACCAACTTGCCTGCGCTGTTCCTATCCTCACACAACTTGCCACCACTTTTTCCCTCCCCCTCTCTCCTTCTTCCTTTCTGTATTTCTGCACCAGTCTTTTGTCCTACCCTGCTGGGAATGGGTCTACGTTGTACACTGATTTCATCACCATCTCCCCCACCCCCGGGTGCCTTATGAAGTGTCCTATCTCGATCCGTACTGCCCGATACTCCTCCTCCTTCTCCCTTTCCACACCCGGCAAACGTGCAGCCACGATCCCCAGATATCGATGTCACCCCCTTCTCTTCGTCACCACCATTGACTGCCCGGGGGCATGTGCTTGCCCCTGCGTTGTTCTCCACCTTACCCTGCAGTCGCAATTCCCTGTCTACTCGGTCTTTCCCCCTCCCCTCTCTCTGAACTGCCTTTCTCGTATTTCCCGTCTCCCCCCTTTTTCTTCCTGCTGAGGCCACTTCGTTCGTCTGCAATGGATGGCTCATCTGAGTTTTTGTAAAGTTTCACAGTAGACGTCTGAACTAATGGTCGAACCACACTCCATGAACTTCACTAGCTGTAGTCCTTTGGCATCTTAGAAGACTGATGCCATAACCTTTCTGGCAGACAATGTTTGCTGAGCTTTTTGGGGGGGTTCTTTGGTGAGTATGACACCAGACCATTGATTGCTGTTTGCTTCTGGGGTTCACATATGACACCCAGGTTTCATTGCCAATCACAATTCTGTTAAGAAATTGTTCTCCTTCCTCGGCATAATCCGTGAGAAAGTCCAAAGCAGAACCCAGATTTGGTGCTGAGTAACTACCACCTCTTCATTTCAAACCTTGTAAGACATTATGACAAGTGCCTCAATTTGAATGGTGATCATGTGAAAAAATAATGTAATGTTGTAGTTTTCTAATGTATATAATAAAAGTTCTGTATCTGCGAGTGTCTGTCATTGATAACCAAATGGAGGTTTATTTCCGAATTGTCCTCATAGATATGCTGTAGTGGCGAATATTTGTAGATATAGATATTCTCAAATTAATACGTTCACTTGCTACAATTCTTATGCCACCATTCAATTTATATAGACTATCAAAAATGTCATAACATTTTCTAACTGATATGTGATTAATTTAAGAAAAATCCAAATTTATAGTGAATTCTAAATTTAAGCAATTCGTTCCTTTGGGTTTAGAAAGTGCTCCTTTTTCATCATATAACTTACTAATATCTTGATAAACTGCAGTTCTGTATCTTCCTGATTTATCTCTTTGAGTTCATGAACTTTTCTAAGAATATTTTCTCTCAAGTGGGCATCAACAAGCTTAATATATCCTGGGCTTTTCTACCTTATGGCATGATTTCATGAAGACTATAGTCGATTTCCTTGTGATATTAATAAAGCCCAGAAAATAATCATTCTGTCATGTGGCAATGAAGCTACATTGTTTTCTCTGACACCCTGCATTCAAATTTTTCATCCTGAAGATCAGCTGTACATGGTCTAATGTCCAGAAGATTATTTTGAGTCTTTTTTTTTAAATACAAGAATGCTGGACATTTATCAATTACATAAGGACTACCAACAATTTCATGCACTTCTTTAGACATTTTCTTAATTTGTTTATACATACTAAAACTATTACTTTGCTTGCTCAGTCATTTTGTACCGTTGGACCTTGCACTTATCTTTGAAATATATCATTCTCCAGTTCCTTAATTTGAAGTTGTTTTTTTAAATAAAAAATAGGCTGTTTTTTTATTCTACATAAATATGTCAGGTAAAGACTGTCACATGCTGGCTAACCTTTTCTTATAACATTTTGTTCATTTATTTGGTACTAGCTGTACCCGGCCACGCGTTGCTGTGGCTCTGTCTGGTTAAATGGAAAAGAAAGAAAAGAGAAAGTGCACATTTGTAATATGTTTACGTTCACAATGCTTGTGGGTATACAATATACGTCCAATAGATGGTGCTGTTTTTCAAAAAAGCATGTTTTACCTGTCACAGGTGTGACATCTATATAATAGTAGGTATATAAAAACACGCACGTATTCGAATGCAACGTTGTGTCAAAATTTCAAAGCAATCGGTGAAGAACTTTCGGAGATTTAAGATTTTGAACAAACGAACATTTACATTTTTATTTATATAGATTCTCACCACAAATCCAGAGAGATATTTGGCAACAACTAGACCTAACTGTTGTTTTTTTTATCATGAATGTTATCAGGAATCATTTATCACTGTCTGCTGATGTCCACAGGAATTATTCTTTCCAGTGGCCACACCTGGAAACAGCAGAGACACATCGGCATCACTTCTCTGCGGAAGCTGGGCCTGGGGAAGAAAAGCATTGAGCATCAAATAGAAGACGCAGCTCAGGCATTGGTGGAGATCTTTAGACAAACAAAAGGTATGCAATCATAATGGCTCGAGTCCCTGTCTGCAGAAATCTTTTCCATTCTGAGTATTTTGAATAAAAGCAATGCATTTGATTTGATTTTTCTATTTTTGAAACAATTGGTCCCCAGTTGTCTTCCTTCATCCACTTAGAAGTCTTGTTCCTTAAAAATTCATTATAAAATATCTTCATTTGCAGGACAGCCATTTGACCCTTCATTTCCAGTACTAAATGCAGTTTTTAATGTCATATGTGTTTTCAATACTGGACATCAGTCTGCTCCTGAAGATGAAAACTTTCAGAAGTTAATTCAAGCCCTTAATTTTTTTTTGAATTTCACTGGTAACATTTTCCACTTGGTAAGTCATGTTTTCTATTAAAGAGACAAAGTTTCCCAAACCAACTCCATCTGTAATTTCATGGAAACATGAATGGAATCCATGGAGGAAGCCTTGGAAATCATCTATTGTACTGTTATCCCTGGTATGTGTGTCTTCCTTGAATCAGGTTTGACTCAAGGTAAGAGCCTGGACAACTCTTTGAAGTTTTCTTGTGAAGATTTTGGAAATGGTTTGCCACTGCCCACTTCCTAGGGCTGAGAGAGAGGGACTGGTCCAGGGTCACCCAGTTGACTTAGTGTTTGAGTTGAGACTAAAATTCAGAGTCTATCAGTTTCTAGGCTAGTGCATTAACAGCTACATTGATTTTGACCAAATGAACTTGTGCTTTTATTTAATTGCCCAAGAGTTTGAACCTACTATCTGTTCAATCATACCTGGAGCAGGTATTTATATTCCCTGTATAGCCAGTAGAGCATTTGTTAAAATGTTGAGAACCAAGTACTGTGTGATGGGGTGAGTTCCCATTTCTTCATCAGTTCCTGCCTGCCTAGCAGTTTGAAAGCCTGCAAATGCAAGTAGATAAATAGGTACCACTTCAGTGGGAAGGTAACAGTGTACCATGCACCTCAGCATATAGTCATGCCAGTCACATGACTGGGAAAGCTTCTTTTGACAATATCGGCTGTCTTGGCTAGAATATAGAGACGAACACCACCCCTAGAGTTGAACATGACTAGACAGAGGAACCCTAACCTATGTTACTTTAACTTTGACTTTAACTCTGCCTTTTTAATTGCAATACTGCATCTTTTATTTTTAAACACATAAATATAATAAATATATCATATTGTAAGTTGAAAGTGAAGTGTTGAGAATCTTCTGTAACTCTGGTAGGATATAAATAGATAACATTACCTCTTCTGTTCCTTTTAGATTTATGTTCAATTTCCACAATTAATGAACTACCTCCCAGGCCCTCACCAGAAGGCCCTGGCTTCTAGGGAGCTTATCATTTCCTTTGCAAAGCAGGAAATAGAGAAACACAAGGAATTTCACGCTCTGCATGAGCCACAGGATTTCATTGATTACTATCTTCTTCAGATGGAGAAGGTATGGATTTACTGTACTTCAGTATATGGGCAAGGAATTATTACATTCCTCACTATAAGTAAACAAGAGGAGCTACTAGTTTTGTTTTCCTTGGAGGTATTTTTTTTCATTCAGCTCCCATTCTGAATTTAACCCAACCTAAAAGTTGAAAGAAAAATCTTCATCATAGTCCAGTCCAACCTAAAAGTTGAAAGAAAAATCTTCATCATAGTCCAGTCCAAGCAAGTATAAAGAACAACGTTGAACTATTGTGGATGGAAAAGAAGTAGATCTTATGGTACTTGATATCAATGTGGTACTTGGTATCAAGAGCATGTAAAGTATTAGTGCTGCTTTATACCACACTGCTGAGACCACATTTGGAATACTACATCCAGTTTTGGTCACCATGATGCAAAAAGATGTTGAGATCCTAGAAAAAGTGCAGAAAACAGCAACAAAGATGATTAGGGAACTGGAAGCTTAAACATATAAAGAACAGTTGCAGGAACTGGGTATCTTTAATTTAATGAAGAGAAGGACTGGGGTGACATGCGTTTATTATTATTTATTCACTAAATTGTAATTGTAATTGGGTATTGTAATTATAAACTTCTGGGTACATTGTCCATAATAAATATAAAGAGCAATTGTGAGAGGTTTATTCTCACAACTTGCAACACGGAGGCAAAAATAACCACACAAAAGTTACATAGAATTTATTGTAATTTTCATTTTCTATTTTAAACTTCAGAGCAGGAATGACCCCGATTCAACCTACAATGAAGAGAACCTGATTCAGTGTATTTTGGATTTTTTTGTTGCTGGGACAGAAACGACCATGGCTACTCTGATGTGGGCACTGCTCCTCTTGACCAATCATCCTGACATCCAAGGTGAGACAGACATGGGTGGGTGGAACGAAGGTCACTCTCAGATTTTAAAACAGAGAGAAATTATTTCAAATACTGAATGATTGAACTGAATCTATTCTTTGTAGATTCTTTTTTTTATAACAAATTTTATTGGTTTTCCAGTTTTACATTTAAGTATTTAGAAAGCAGCATGGTGATTGGGTAATCAATAATTCAATAACAAAATCTTTAGCACATATATCAGGTTACATCGTCTAAAATTCCTTCTCTATTTCCCTTAACATTTGCTATATCATATTTAAACAAGTAAATTTCTAATTATAACAAGCTCAGTTGAGACATTTATCAATATATTTTTTGCTTATACATATCCATATCCTGTTTTTAAGTTTTACCTAATTTTTAATTTTTAATTATGGTATTCCAATTTAACCTTTGACATCCATAGTATTTAAATTTCGAGTAACCCAAATTTCCTTTATTTTACTACATAAAAGTTATAATATCTAAGATACACATATTATTTACTTAAATATATTCTTAATTTATTTCATAAACATTTTCTATTTCTCATCCTAGTACATCACCACTTACTAATAGAATGTCCTTTATTGTCTCAAGTCCATCATCTGTATTACCTGGGCTAAACAATAATTTGAAGCTATTTGCAATAGTTAATTTTTATTTCCTTTATGAATCTAAATCCTAAATATTAAGCCAATCAATCCCTTATTTTTATCATTTTCCAACAATATTTAAATCTATAATCACATTTCCCTTCATCTCAAAATCTCCCTTTAGCCCATTAGTTGAGACATAAGTCTTCTGTCATAAATCAGAAGACTCCATTTTTTAAATCTAACTCTAGCTTTCTTTTTATGCCAACCAAGTTTCCATATCAATGCCTTTAAATCATCAGATAGATCTCCCTTCATTCTTGCACATGTTATTTGAATCAAAGCATACCATCTGGTTATTAATTTTCCAGAGGAACTGGCCCATTTATAATCGTTAAATTGTTGCCCTGGTGGCTTAGGTCTCCATATTTGCTCTAGTATGTTTATCTTCAATTCGGTCTGGTCTTCTTCCTTAGTTTCTTCTGGTTTAAGTAAAAAGTCATGTCCAATTTTATGGTTGTTGTTTGGTTGTCTAGGTTTTCAGTGTGCCATACTTGTTGATCTTTAACACCCCCCATCTTGGTATTACTTTCTTCCGCTTCTGTTGCTTTTTGGGTTGTAGGTTCTTTAGTTACAATCAGGGTAAGTTTTATTAGATGTCAGGTGTATTGCCATAATACATAGCTAGAACTGAGAATCTTGTACCAAAATCCCTAAGTTCAACTTTTTCCTCCCTTACCTGCCTCCCATGATCCTCCATGACCAATCAGGTTCATGCAAGATGTTACGAGAGTGATCAGTTCAAGACCAGGTTGGTATGAAGCTGCCTTCTTTTCCCAGTCAGGTGACCTTGAGGCAGCATCTCGTGAACATACAGTTGTTACTTTCATTTCCCCCCAAACATTCCCTCTCCCAACCATCCTCCCCAGCATTCATGGCAGACTGTCATCGCATGGCAGCCAGGCACAAGCAAGCATAAGGTGGCAGCTGACATGATAGTCTTACTTTATATTGCCATGATGAGAACGCATTTAGAATACCACATCCAGTTCTGGTCATCATGATACAAAAAGATGTTGAGGTCCCGGAAAATGTGCAGAGAAAAGCAAAAAAAAATATGATAAAGGGTCTTGGGGCTAAATCATAGGACAAATGGTTGAGGGAGCTGGATATGCCTAGCCTACTGAAGGGAAGTATTGAGGGGCATGATAATTCTCTTACAGTACATGAGAGGCTGTTACGAAGAAGAGAGGATTGAGAAATTCTCTAGGACAAGACATAATATGTAGAAGCTTATCTAAGAGAGATCCAACCTCAAAGTAAGGAAAAATTTCCTGTCAGAAAGAACAACTTAATCAGTGGAATGTCTTACCACTGGAAGTTGTGACTAGGGGTTTCGAATGGGATTATATAAGGCTCCTGCCTTGAGCAGGGTTTGGACTATAAGACCTCCAAAGTCTCTCTCAGACATATGATTCTATTAAATGATTACAATTAATGCCCCAAATGCTATTCCAGGTCCTAAAGTTCTATTGAGGATTAAAATTTGGAAACAAATAAAGGAAACACAATATTGAAAATGAACCTTCTATTTCTATCATTTTTTCCAGAGAAAGTCAAGAAGGAGATTGAAGATGTGTTTGGCTTCTCGGGGTCAATTTCCTATCAGGATCGGAAGAAGCTGCCTTACACCAATGCTGTGATTCATGAAATGCAGCGTTTAAAATATATCTTGCTAGCTGGGGTTCCCAGGCGAAGTACAAAGGATGTAAAGATGAGGGGTTACCTTATTCCAAAGGTGAGAAACATGGTCAGGCTGCATTCCAGGAGTCTATTATGGAAGTAAAAGCAGAATATGGACTTTGACAGAAGCTCTCTGTTCAGGAACTGCCGAAGTAGTCATGCAAAATTGAATTGGGAAGAATAGCAAACTTTTGTGGGGAATGGATGATGTGTTTAAATTTAACAGCTGCCAGATTTTAAAGCTAGAACCATAAACATTTTCTATTTATTGTAAGAAGATGATAATATTAACTTCAGAACTGAAGTCATGTGTCACCATGTTTCTTTGTGTATTTATTGGGGCAATTTGGACTGATAAGGACAGCTCTCTGTTTTAATGGAAGGGAGGGGAGAAAGGAGGAGCCACTGCTCTCTCAATCTGCTTTGGAAATGAACAAATAGGGGTCCATAAAGGCAAGCTAAAACCAAATGTTTCATCAATCTTATTTGAACTTTTTTGCCCATTTCCTTATGAAACCGTTCTATTTAATCCTATTGTTTTTTACAGAGGAGCATTATTATCCCAGACCTGCGCTCTGTTCTTCTTGACCCAGAACAATGGGAGACACCTAAAGAATTCAACCCAAATCACTTTTTAGACAAGGATGGGAAGTTCATTGAACGGGAAGAGTTTCTGCCATTTGGAATAGGTACATCCATGAGCCCAAAGCAACTTATAATTTATAGTTTCCCACCACCACTAAAATCACAGATTCTGAAATTATCATGGTCTGAACAGAAAATCCAGAATCTGAATTCCTTATAGTTTCAAAACTGTGGGAATATGAAGTTCTCCTTAGGCTACAGGGTTTCAATGACCAAGAAATACTAGTTATAATCACACTCTAATCAGTGGAGTTTTATAAGAAATGTACAAGTTTACATAATTGTCTCCGGTTTTGGGAGGATAATTATAAGCTAAATCCAAAATCTGAGCTAATTATAAGATAATTATAAGCTAAATCCAAAATTTGTAGCTTCTTACCAATGGATTCAAGCCACAGAATTTTGCTCCTAGATTCATTAACATACATATTAGTTTTTTTTATAATCACAAGTGCTTAAAGTAGATTCATTAACTCTGCCATATTGTCTGGGTTTCAATGTCTAATTTACTAATACATAGCAAGTTTCTTTCTCCCTACCTCGTTTTCTCTAGCCAATTATAAAAAGTATCCCATGTTCTAAAATAAATGGAATCTTCTTTCTCTTTCATTTTCAATGTCAATCTATCCATTTCTGCAAACTCTTAAGATTTTTTTAACTAACACTTCCTCCGCTAGTGGATCTTCATAATTCTGGCTTAAAATCTAAATGTTTGTTCGTCATTTTCTCTAACCATGTATCTATTCTTAACCAAAATCGTTTAGCTTTAGAGTATGTCAACCAAAGAGTATGTCAACGTGCCTATTTTTTGTTTACATTTCCAACAGTTATTTGATACATCTTTAAACATTTTTGCTAACCTCACAGGTGTTAAATGCCATCTCTAAAACATTTTATATAAATTTTCTTTGTACGCTACTGCTTTTATTATTTTCAAATTTCTTTCCCAAAGGCTTTACCATTTTTCTAGTTCTATGTTATGTCCAAAGTTCTTTGCCCATGTTATCATTGTTTCTTTAACTTGTTCCTTTTCCATCTTTAAGCTTAGCATATATTTATAACATTTCTTGATCAATTTTTCATCTGATGTCAGTAATATCTTATCAAATTCTGCCTGTTCTTTATAGAACCCAGATATTTTAACATCTTTTTCATATCTCGTTTGAAACATAAAGAGTATTTTTGGTAGAATATTCATCTTCACAGTTGCTATTCTCCCCAACATTGAAAGTTGTAGTTTTTTCCATTTTTTCAAGTCTAGTTTTAGTTGTTTTAATAAGTTTACATAATTATCTTTTTTTATTGTTGCACATCTTGCTGTTAGGTAGATTCCCAGGTACTTAAATTTTATGACTATTTGAAGACCTGTTTTTTTCTGATAACTGATTTTTTTGTTTTTCTGTAAGATTTTTAGTTAACAATTCGGTCTTTTTTCTGTTTATTTTCAGACCTGCCACTTCTTCGAATTCTTCTATCTTTTTCATAAGCTTAAAGCTTGTCTCAAGAGGTTCTTCTAGTATAAAAACTAAATCATCTGCAAATGCTTGTAATTTGTATTTTTCATTTTTTATTTCCACTCCTTTAATTTTCATATCTTGTCTAATGTTTCTATTTAATACCTCCAATATTAGTATGAATAGCAATGGAGATAGGGGACATCCTTGTCTTGTGCCTTTTTTAATATTGAAAACAAACAAAACCTCTGTCATTGTAATGGCTGCAGAATTTCCCCTACCATGGTATTGCCATCTTATCTGCACATATACCGATGACTCTTTCTCCATTGATGGCGCATATAGTAAAGGGCATAAAAGGACAGCTTCAGTTATGAGAAACGTGAAATGCTATTGTTCTCCCAGAAAGCTCAGGTCTTATAAGTGGAAAAGAAAAGAAAGCTTCTATTTGCAAATAAAAGGTTTGTCCAAATGGGAATACCTCTTGTGAAGATCAAAGTTCGATTTTTTGAAACTGGGTTCTGATGAGTCTACCAAGAAATATTGGCAAACACCACACCACACACCACACCACACACACACACACACACACACACACACACACCTCAAATATTCTTTCAACTATTCTATTTGCTCCCTGTTCTGTCAGGAAATTTCCCTTTAGTTCTAGATTGGTTCTCTCCTTGATTAGTTTCCATCCATTGCTTCTTGTCCAATATGAATAACTGGAATGACTGTGCCCCCATAGCTGAAGTCCAACAGAGGCACAGAAGAATACTTGATCATAAACTGAAAATTAGCTCTCTCCACATCAGATTTCTGACATAGTTTATTTGCCAAGACAACCAAAACAGATTCAGTAGCATAGATGGATAAATTCCATGTTGAAATGGTCAGTTTCACTCAAATGGATTTGCAGCTGTCAGACCATTGATGTCTCAACACTTGTAATACTTGAAAAGTAAGTTGAATGTAACTTTGACGTGTAATGATAAATCAACCGATGATTACGCTCTGCTAGTAAAAAGTACTTATGAGAGATGATGAAACTGCGTAGATCATCTCCATATTTCACAAATCAGCCAGGACTCCACAAATAGATAAGGCATAATATTCCCTTGATGTAATCCATTCAGACCTATCTCGTACCTCAACCAGACTATTTTGGTGACCCTTTAACCCTGCAGAATGTGGTATGAAGATCATCTCCAATTTCTGCAGAAGCTGATTTCCATCCCTGCAGAATGGCTTCCACGTCTGTCTATGCAAAAAGAGTTAGGCAAAGCTGGTTCTTGCTCTGATGGAAACAAAATACAAAAGCCACTGACTGGGGCCCAATACTAGTTGGGACAGATGCATGCTAAACATGGCATCCTGGATCATTCCTGAACTAATAATCTGAGCATGAATGTTTAAATCCTGCGGGGAAAAAATCAAATGTAGTTGAATTCCACTTACTCTGATGGGGCAGGAAGAAAGCCTGTTTTACAGAATGGTATTCTCACATTTGTCCAGGCAGCCAGATGTAGTAAGCAAAAAATAACAAGAATGGGTGTTTGGTCACTGAAAGGGAATTCCTATAGCAGTGATGGCGAACCTTTTAGAGACCGAATGCCCAAACTGCAACCCAAAACCCACTTACGCATTGTCGGGTGCCGGGTGGGTGTGGCCCATTGGGTGGGTGTGGCCCATTGGGTGGGTGTGGCCCATTGGGTGGGCGTGGCTGCGGTGATAACGGCAAACTGGGTGGGACTAAAAAGTTCAATCAATCAATTCCAACTTTGCAAGATCTTTTTTTCCCCGCAAGAAGTTGAAATTGACTGATTGAACCTTTTTTTTTTTTGCACACGGCGGCGGAGGCCTAAAGTGAAAAGGTTTTATAAAACCCAGCTGAAGGCCTCGGACTGGGGCGACGGCGCACGTGCCCACAGAGAGGGCTCTGAGTGCCGCCTCTGGCACTCGTGCCATAGGTTCACCACCACTGTCCTATAGATTATGTGCATTCCACCTCCTGTGGTCTGATGCACCATAGAATAAGCTGGTGGACAGAGAGGTGAGAAAATGACTTCCCTGTTTTAGGCCCATCTCTTGTAGTACATGCGAGATCAGTTATTTCCCAGGGTGTATAGCTTTGCCTTTGAAATGGTGTACTATTTACCACAATCTTAGTTAAAGTTATACTATGAGTTAAAGTTACGCTCAAAGATACTAGGTCAACATGGAAATCTTCTTGGGATGTCTTTTCAGATTTCATTCATGATGTACTTATAAACTGGAGAACAGATTATTATCCCCTTCATGCATGCTTTGTCTCATCTACAGGTCAACGTGTATGCGTGGGACAGCAGCTGGCAAGAATTGAGATCTTCATCTTTCTGACCAGCCTGTTGAGGGCCTTCAACTTCCGGTTGCCTAAAGGAGTGAAAGAACTCAATGAAGCACCTGTCGTAAAAGTGACAATGCATCCACACCCTTACAAACTGTGTGCTATTCCCACAAGGGTTTAAACGTAAACAATATAAAAAGCATAAATGTAATTTTGGAGTAGCTATTCAATATAGTAAATGTTTCCTATATACCTATTCTCTTAATATTGTGTTTTGCTTCTATTTACTCAATACTGAAACATGTTTAATATATAGCTAGGTTCACACAACATATCTAACCTGGTCAAACAAACAGCTGTATGCTTGTTTTGTTTTATCTTTTTTTCCCCTTTGGGTGCCAATACAACATAATACTTTCTATTAAGTCTTAGTATCTTTTTTCATTTTTAATAATTTTCTCCTGTGGACTTCATGTTCTCCAGCCAGAGCAAACTTGATAGATGTCCCCAAAGGATACCATGCTGGAAGGTATAAAAAGCTGCTGACAGAATTAACAGAACAAGAAAAAGGACGTGCGACCAATCTAGATCCCAGTGCAGAACATTTTTCATCCCATTCTTACGGCTGAACTTGGACTAAATCCAATATCTGCTTCTGTTTGTTCTGAGGAGAGTTTCCTGTGACGGTTGAACCCGTTAAGGATATCACCATCCTCTGCTACCATTTCTTTATAATAAAACACATTTTCTAACAGCAGGTTTCACTCCAAAATTAGTTTAATTTGCTCCATTCTGTATTAGTGAGTCTCTTCTCCTTTAATTATAATACAGTGGTACCTCAGTACTCATTGTTAATTGGTTCTAGGAGGTGCAATCAGTACTAAAAATGACGAATACCAATGAAAATTTTCCCATAAGGAATAATGTAGTGTGTCACGAGGCAGTGGACACCAACAAGTTCTAGCTTCTGCATTGAGTTCCAAACAATGACTACCATGACAAAATTATGTCATCAAAATTCATTGAGTACCAAATTCGATGAGTTTCCAAGCAGTTGAGTACCAAGGTATTCAGTTCTTTCTGGTTCCCATTAGTATCCAATTTTTGGACTCCCACTTTATCATGTTGTTCCTAATCAATACCTTTTTTATGGAAAGATTTCTTATAATTAATTTCAAAATCTTCATATATTTTTTAAAAAATTCAAGTCTGTCTGGTCCCTTAGTTTGTTTATCACTTTCCAAAATGAAGGTTCTAATCACTCCTGTGCTGTTTATTCCAACTTAAGAACTTTTAAAGATTTTATACTTTCATAAATCTTCATTAGCCATGCATTAAAGGAAACTCAGATAGTGTAATCAAACTTGCCCTTCTGAAGGATATTAATATTTTTAAAAGCCCATTAACAAGCAAATTCCAGGACGTCTGGATGGGATTTCCCGACAATGCCAATGCTTGAGGACGGGGCTCCATCTCTTGCATCTGGTTTTCCCATGCTGGGGGATCCTGGAAAGGGTCGAAAGTCACCCCATAGAGGCGGCAAGCGAGGAGCGGACGTTCATTGATCATGCAGGACGGGTGGTAGCCCCCCCGTTTGATCCGAGGAAGCCCTCCAAACTGGCAGAGGAAAGACTGGCTGCATTTGTGTAGCCAGCCCTAAGCTGTTGACTACGGAAGTCAACAAGCACTACCAAGCATTTTTACAGCAACGTGGATGAAACTGGGTGAGACCTGATCCTTTCTTTATGATCTTGAGGCCTCTTCCTGAAAAGCTGTCCAAAGCACTTCCCCCAATGAAAGAGGGAAAGGGAAATTTTGCCCCACTCCCTCAGAAAAGAAAAATGGCGAATTAATACTTGGGGATACTGGCGAACCTATAAGACTCAACTGGAACTAAAATATACTTATAGTTTAAAAATTTGGGGACTAAAAGTGTTTTTAAGACCTTTTTATTTTTATTTCTTCTAAAGAAAAAGACTTGAAATGTTTAACAATATGTTTTGGATTTAAAAACCAGAAAGTGGCGTTGATGACATCCAGTGGTGAATTATGGCACTACAACTTACTTGTGCCTAAAAGAAATCTGGCTTGAAGCCCAGAATTAGATAAGGTTTTGTCTGACCTTGGAATTATTTTACTATTGGAAATTACAGTTGAAAAAAAAGGAACAGGCTTGGGGGCTGCTTACCTATGTGGCAGAGATGATAAACATTTTAAACTTGGCCTGTCTGAATTTTGAACATAAATACTGACTTCCAGAACTGTATTATGGATTTATTTATTTTCAATTTCTTGTTCTTCCCTTGGCTTGGCTGCTCATTCCATTGTCATTTCTTCCTGTCGTTTTGTTTCTCTCTGTGGACGGGGTTCTGTACTTTTCCCTTCCATGAAATCTCTGTGGTTGTCATATAACTCCATTGCCTTAAGTGCTGTATCCAATCTGTATCTTTCCCCATCCCAATTAATTAAAATCCCTTCTGGAATCAGTCATCTGAAATTCACTCCTTTTTCAGTTAATTTTCTGGTCAGGAATTGATATTCTCTCTTATTCTCCTTGGAATCTGTTTCAGGACTACATCCTTTTTTTCTTTATATCGCAAAGGATCATCTCTCACTCTTTCAAAATCTCATCTCTTATGGATCTTTTGACAAATCTGATATGTGAAGAGGAAAAAAGAAAAAAAATTAACGTTACCCCTCTGCCAAAAATTATTCCAAAAAATCTTGCTAGCAGACGTTCTTTTGCTCAGTCTATCGTTAAGTAGTTGTAATAGTCACAATTCAAACAATATTTATAATCCAAAGGGAGGGGGCTCACTTCCAAAGACAACTGTTCTGGATCCAACGTTGCCCCTAAGTCAAAATTTATAATCCACCAAGACCTGCTATTGGAATTAGTAGTCCATAGGCCTTCTCCAAGAGATTTTTCACTATTTCAGTTTCCACTGTCCATAAATAGTTCTCCAGTCCAACGTTAAGAATTTATAATCCACACTAACTCTGTCTTTAAGCAGCTTGTAAAAACGCAGTTCAAACAGTATTTATAATCCAAAGAAAAAAACAGATGGTTTCAAAATAGTTTATATCCTTTAGTTATAATCCATCCTGCAGAAAAAAAAAGCAGCCTAGAGAAGCCCTTCTCTTTTCAACTATAATTGACAGTAAGGTGACCAACCGTCCTCCTTTATGGAAGACAGTTCTCCTTTTGTAAGTTCTGTCCTCCCTCGAAAAGTGTCCTCCTACATGTCCTCCTTTTCGATATTTGAAGACTAATCTGCAGGGCTTTTTTTTTTTCATAGAATGCTCAGAACGGCGTTCCAGCAGCTTTTTTTAATGTTTTTTTTTTTCAACTTTTGCATGAGCTGTGCTACTCCCCCTATTGGCTTTCGAAAGCCAATAGGAATTGCTGCTGAGCGCGCCAAAACATCCGGCCGCCAAACTTTGCACATGCAAGTTGTCTGCAGCGAAGGTGAATTGGCAGGAACTTTGCACCCCTCCCTGCTACCCAACTACACCATCTCCTAGTTAGTCCCGAAGATACCTGGAGGAGACTAACTTCCATTTAGGGATGGAAAAATCAAAAAGGAGGAAATGCCATTTCAATGATAAATTGAATAAGGAATTTCCACTCAGGATAACATTGTTTTCTGCAATATTTGCAGCGGAGAATTTTGTATTGCAGTTGGGGGCAGAGCAGCTATTACGAAACACTTGACCACCAAGAAACATAAGCAATGATCAGATGCATCTGATTCCAGTTGTAAAGTAACAAGTTTTTTTAAAACTTCAAAGTATTCTGAAGATGAAAAACAGTTAGCTGCAATGGAGGGAACATTTGCATTCCATACCATACCATAATTCACAATCAAAGTTTTCGCAGTATGGATTGTACAACTAAATTATTGAAAAAGTTTCACGATGAAATTTTCATGTGCCAGGACAAAATGCGAGGCTATTATTAAATCAGTATTTAAAAATTACTGTGACAAAATACTTACAGAAGACTCGGAAACTGCAGCATTTGTAATGGGTTTATCTGATGCATCCAATCATAATGAAACTAAATTGTATCCAATACTAGTAAGATATTTTAATGTTACCAAGGGCATTCAAGTAAAAATTTTAAATTTAGAATCCATTGAGGGCAAAACTGCTGAAATTTTGTCAAACCATCTATATAGGATAATAAATGAAAACAATTTGAAATCCAAAGTTGTTGCACTAACAGCTGATACTACAAACACAAATTTTGGTGTGCGAAGACACAAAGGGGTGAATAAATTACAAGATTTACTCCAAAAGAAAATACTAGGAATAGGTTGTAATGCACATATTTTGTCAAATGCAATCAACACGGCATCATGTGTCATGCCAATTGATGTAGAAGTAATAATAACTACAATTTATTTGTCTTTTAGTCGTTTTACCGTTCGTGTGGCTACTTTAAAACAATTTTGTGAAGAAGCGAATGTTCAATACAAAAAACTTTTAGGATATTCAAAAGTTAGATGGCTTACTCTAACACCTGCTATAGAGTGTGTTCTACAATTATTTGAGCCTCTCCGTCCATATTTTTTTAAGTTTAGACAAAAGTCCTAAAATCCTGGAATCGTTTTTCAATAATGAAATATCTGAGATATTAATGTATTTTGTACATAATCAAGCATCTATTTCTCACAAAATGATTCAAAAGATTGAAGGTGAACACATTTCACCTACAGAAGTTAGTCTTATTTTGAATGACTTTATCCTTCAATATAAAACTCGATTTGAAGAAAAAAAATTCCTTTAGTTATAAAAAGAAAATTGTCAGACTTAGAGGAATCAAATCTGGGCATAACGGAAAAGTTTATCAAAGAAGTGCAGAATTTTTACCCAACATGTTTTCAATATATCGAAGAATGGTCTGAAACAAACATCACAGGAAATAACCATTTTCGATGGTGTTTTTTGACTTCATCGCAACTATATTGGACAGATATTGAATCCTGTGTTGAGTTTTTATCTAAAGAAATGCCAGACATTAAAATAGACAATTGTCTCTTTGAAGAAATTAGAAGACTGAATGTATTTTTAAATTCTGAAAAATTAATACAATGGGATAATAAACACGTTGAAATTGATAAAAGATGGGTGGAAATATTCAGCCATTTCAAAAATGAATATATTCCATGTGAACATTTATTTATTCTTGTTCAATTTACGTTGTGCTGCCCTGGAACTAATGCAGCAATTGAAAGGGTTTTTTCAATTGCTAATGATTTTTGGAAAAGTGAGAAATTGAGATGGAATGTTGATACTCTAGCTGCAGCACTTGCCGTAAAATTCAACATGAAGGATATTTCTTCTTCAGATATTTCCAATGTATTGTTAGAAGATGATACATTGACAAAAATATTCATCCAATGGAAAAGTACTCATTTAAATAATAATTAATAGGCATGGAAGCATAATTACAATATAAAATGTTATTGTTACAAATGTTTTTTATTATGCATTTATCATATTATAGTGTATTCTGTATTATTATTGCAATGAATAAAATGTTTCTTTTATTTATGATACTTTTTTCTTCAATTTATTTGTGTCCTCCTTTTCATTGTAAAAAAGTTGGTCACCTTATCGACAGGACTGTGAAGGTCAGGAACATCAAACATCAAAGGGTTTAAACTTCAAACTATGTCTGGGCATCTAGCCAACTTCTAGCTTTCTAGACAAAATACAAGTAATCCCCCCACGATACGAGCATTTATTTAGCAATATTTCACAAAAACGAGGTTATTCAGAAAGGGTACTTACATTAAAAATTCAAAATTGCGATACAAAATAGGCCTCTGTAGCCATGTGACTTGGATTCAGTCTCGGCTGCTGCGGCAGGCATTTTAACTCTGTGACTTGCCTGGGCTGGTTCAGGCTTATGAGAAGCCGGAAGTGTTTGTGTGTGCGTGTGTATGTGTGTGCCTGGTGACACGGCCAAGCAAGATTTTTGCAGCTGGCAAGTCCATTTGTTTTTCTTTTCCTGGAGCTCTGTGTGGAAGATCTGCTGCTTGCTGGGCTTGAGGACTGGACTTGTGGAGAGCTAGAATTCCTTCTGTAAGTATTTTAAAATATCCTTTTTTGTTATTCTATAGTCCTGTACTGGATTGTTTGTAATTACTTTGGGAATTGCTCTGCTTTTCATTGTTTTGTAGGTACAGTATTTTGCAAGATTGATTGTTTGCATTTGCCTGAAACTTATAGCATGTGGCCGCTCCTGCTCCTTTTCCTAGCATAGACCCACCAGAGATTCTGCTAACACTCACTGGAAGGGAATTTTCCCCTCCCCCACCCCATTTTGGATTTTGGCTGGAGAGGCTTGTCCTGATAAGGAGCAGGTTTTTTTTGTTTTGTTTTTTAAAAAGGTTTTAAATTTAAATTGCCTCCAGAAGTTGTGGGTGTTCTCTCACTGGAGGCTTTTAAGAAGAGTCTGGATAGGCATTTATCAGAAATACAGTACAGTACAGTACTGTACTGTATAGGCAGCCATCGGAGGAAATAGTAAATCAAATCTTTATTCAACGACCCATTTGATTCAATTAATGAGGTTGATTNTTGTAATTTTCCAGTTAGTTTAAAGGAAGTTTAGTCCAATAATCTCCAAAAATAGTATAAAATTATATATAAAAAGAAAAAAATTTAAAACTCCCCAAACTTTTTCTATTTCTCTTTGTTATATTTACGTTGTAGATGTCTCTGTTTCCTCCAGACATTTAAACCGCCACCTTTTTCTGCAGGCAGGATACCCCCCCCCAATTCTGGGAAATTGCTTTCAGATTTCCCCCACACACACAAAAAAATAGGTTTTCACTTTGTAGAGAAGAAAAGGAAAATAGTTTCACCCCAGTCCAAAGTGTTGCTCTGCTTGTATTAATCTGCTTTCCCCCCCTGCAGTCAGCAGCTTCCGACTGGCTACGTAGATGCAGCCAGTCTTTCTCCTGCTGTTCCGGAGGGCTCCTTGGATCAAGCGGGTCACCTTCCCGCGATCTACAAGGGTTCCCTCTTGGTCCGTCACTTCTACAGGGTGACTTTCGGTCTTTTTGGACCCACAGCATGCCAAAACCAGGCGTGGGAACCAGAGCTTTGATTCCTTACGCCCCGCCTCCCTCTTTCAGTGTGTGCCCAGAACGAAATGCATGAAGGTAATCAATAATTTGGTGGTAAGAAATAAAAAGGATAATAAAGTATTGGGCCATAACCCAAAACACAATATCATAAAGTAGGACTAGTAGCTACTCGAGGCACCTGACCTCTATGGGGTTTAATGATGCTTCAAAGTTGGCCAGCTAGAGTTGCTTCAGGGTTTATTACAACAGCCCCAAATTATTATGATCATGGCATTCGTTGGTTTTAGTTGCAGAAGACTGATCAACTGCACAGATCCAGAGACGGTTCTCAAACAATGTGCTGCCCCCATGAAGACGTTCTCTTACTTGCAGGGGAAGTTGAGTGAGGGGTTTTTTTTCATGATAGTGTTCTGATGATGGACTTTCAAATGTATGCAGAGACATAATGGTGGAGTAAATAACCCCCCTGTGACCAACAAGATTCTCCTTTTTTAAAAGATAGATTTAATGGACATATGCTATGTCATGATTTTC